CCAAGGCATGGGCGGACATGGGTGAGGGAGAGATGCTTGAGCGAAAGGGTGTGCAACAGGGAACGGAGGAAGGGGTGAGTGGGAGAGGGGTACCGGGCGGGGTGGGTTGCCGACGCCTTGGGTGAAGTTCTTCTGAGTGACGTCAGTCTCAAAGGGCCACACGTAATCGGCAGCGCTGCCCTGCTCCGCACGGATGATGGCCCAGTCATACAGCCGCCGCTCCTCCTCTGACGTCAGCACGTCCAGTGACACCTGCGCGCACCAAGCATGGCAGTACGTGGGTGGGGAATGCGGTTCGGATGGATGGAGGATGCGGTTTGTTTCGAAGGATGGCGAATGCGGAGCACAGAGCGTCGGGTAGGGAAGGGGCGGATAGGGGCACGGAGGCGTGGCCTGTGCTTAATCATTCCTGGCGTGGAGCCTAAACAGACTGCCCCATCCATTCTTGAAATTTTCGTAAACTGAATGTATCATTGTACCCGGATGCCCCCCTCTCTCTTCTCCACCAAAGCCCCCTCCTCCTCTCTCACCCCCCCCTCTCCCTCCCTCCCTTCCTCCCTCCCCCCCTTCCCCCTACCCCCCTCCCTGTCAGTGCCCACCAACCAACCCCCGCCACTGCGCGCACAGCCCTCGCGCCCATTCCCCCCTCCTGCAGCAACGGCCCTTCTCCCGACTCGCCTCGAGCGACAGCAGTTGCTGCCGGGCCGCCTCCTCGTCCAGGTTCGGGTTGCTCGTCAGCTGCTCGCACCGCGCCTCGAACGCCTTGAAGATCTGCGCCGACGCCGCGGGCCGGCGGGCACACGGGGAAAGGGGACGTTGAGAAGGGGGGATGGCGGGAAGGGACGGCGAGGGGCAGCGGTGGAAGGGAAAAGGGAGCATGGGGGGAGAGAGGGCGAGGTTGAAGGGGAGAGTCACGGAGAGAAATAGATGGCGATACCGACGACGGAGAGCTTGGGGTAGGAGCGTGTGGAACAGATAACGACATGCTTAATTGCACACTGCCAGTTCTAAATACCGACTAAACTGCGTTTTTTCCCTTTGGTATTCGAAGCCAGGCTCCAAACGATCTCACCTCGGCGTTATTAGCGTTTCTGGAGACGCCGAGCCGCTTGTAGTGATCCACCAGCACCAGGTCTGACGGGGGAAGGGGGATACGTGGAGGAGCAAGTGCGGGGATGAGAGGGCAGAGGAGGGAGGAGAGGGGGCACGAGAGTTATTGGCGGGGATCTAGCGGCTAACAATGGGACATGCGCAATCGTGCGGACGTGGATTCACAACTGTCCAGGTTCAGCGTGACGCACAGCATGTAACATCTCTGTCTCGACCCATCCGCCCATGCGACAGCTCCTTATACGCGTCCGCCCTGCCTACGGCCTTGCACGCTGAGCCTCGTGCTGCATGTCCACAAGCGCGACCATTCTAACGCCTTGCTCGCATCCTCAATCGTAGCCTCCCACATTCCGTACCGCGTACAGTTACGACAAGGCGAAATGATTATCGCCTACACTTATTTCGCAGGTGCAAGCCCACGCGGAATGGCCCGCGCAGCATGTCCGCTCGGATGAACGAGCGCATTTGTTGGGCGCGCGCGTAGAGCGCATGCGCGGATGAGCGCGCGCTATGTTTCGACATACCGGCTGACGAATCGGCCTCCACGGAGCCCGCTGCGACCGCCACCACTTGAAGCGGCCGCCGGCTCGCCACACGCGCTACTGGGAGCGACGCGACGCGGAGGGAGCCTGCGACCGTCGCACGGGCGGGCTGCGATGACGGCAACGTGCGGGGCACAGGGAGCGCCAAGCCCAACAAGTCGAGAGTAGCCATGGCGACGAGCGAGGCGTACTCTAGTGGGATGACAGTTGTGTGGGATGAGGTGAGCTGCGTGGAGTGTGGGAAGGTGAACCAACTTCGATGGACGATGAGGAGGCGATGAGGAAAAAGCGAAAACAGAGGTGGGGGAGAGCCGTGGAGGGTACACTGGTGACCTTTCTTGAGAGTTGTTCCTCGTGTGACGGGGGGAGTTGTGGAAGGGGGAGGAGGGTGGGTGTGGCGCGGGTGAATGTGGAGGAGGAGGCGGCCGGATGAGGAGGGCAGGGGGAGTGAATGGCGCACGGGCGGGCTCTGTGGTGCGCCAGAAGGATGATGTGGCAATGGATCAGCTAAAGTGAGCCACAGGAGTGGCTCCTGCTTTTATGCTTGCGCATTGGAAGTCCCTCTGTTGGGATAGGTGCGGCTGCGTTAAAAGTTACACATGTACATATTATACAAAACAGAACCATTACAACCATACACATTTCTACAACGAGATCAGTTCATCTACAAATCATAGATCAGCACAAGCAATTGGATAAATGCGGGGGGGTGGAGGCAGTCGCTCGCTGTGCATGTGCACCCAGATCGCGCGACAACATCAGGAGTCAGGATGACTTCGAAAATTGTTTCCCCTTCCATACCCTGACTCGAATCCTCGTTCTCCACCTCCATCCATCACGGATTTGGCCATCACACCACCACAGCAGCTTCACCTCTACTCTGCTGCTTCCTTGAGAACACGGTTTTCGTAAACCTTTCGTCGCCATGAGCGCAATAGCAGGCGGAACCGCTGGTCTGAGCATCGCGACGCCTGCCGGCAGAGGCCGCAAGCGAGGGTCGTCAGCTGCGACGTCGCGAGCTGCTGCGGCGACAAGTGATGCGGTCGGGGTAGAAAGCCTGGGCGGGCGATCGAGCAAACGAAAAGATGCAGTTGCGGGCGGCGGTGAGGCGGGTGACGACGACGACGACGTCTTAAGCAAGCCGGCGTCGTCTCGCCTCGGGGTGACAGGCGCTGCTGCGGCTGCGGGCGCGGATCACGGCGGGCACGCGTCGGCAGGTGCGGGCGATCGCGAGGGGACAGATGGGCGCGGGGCTGTGGCGGGGCTCCGAGACGGCGACGCTGCGACGGGCGGACACCGGCGCGCAGTATCGGGGAACTTCGCATGGCTGGGCACGAGCACGTCGGGCGCTGCGCATGCCGTGAAGGCGGCGCTCAAGTCGTCGCTTGTCGCGCTGGGCGCCGCCAGGGGTCCCGCGTCGGCAGCGGGCAAGGGCGCATTGCCGGGCCGTTCGGGAGGAGCAGCCGGGGGGGAATCGGTCCGCGCTGCGGCGGCGCAGAGGCTAAGCGCGGTGTTGCGGCACCCCGCGGTGCCGGTGGTGCTGCCCATGGTGCTGGCGGTGGTCATCAGCGCCTACTTCCTCCGCCTCGTCCCCGGCGGCGGCACCCATTCCATGCCGGACGAGGGGGGCTGGCGGCTGTGGTGGGGGGGCAACCGCGCCGAGCGCATGGCGGCCGCGGCGTCTGCGGCGGCGAAGGCGCAGCAGGCGGCGGTGGAGAGGCTGCAGGAGGTGGTGGTGCGGCTGGAGAAGCGCACCGAGTCCATGGCGCAGGCCCTGCAGGTAAGGGGGAGGGGGATAGAGATGGGGGAGAGAGGGGAAAGAAAGGGTTGAGGGGTAGGAGAGAAGGGCGGCGTTCGAGGGTGGGGCAAAAGCGACGTAAGGGGTCGCTTTTGCATTCGCACAGGGAAAGCGAAATGGAGGCTAGCGCTTTTGCATTATTAAAAATACAAAGTCTGAATCTTGTTTCCCTGCATGGCATGGTGGCACTGTCTTGTGTGTGTGTGTGTGCGTGCGTGCGTGCGTGCGTGTGTGTGTGCGTGTGTGTGTGTGTGTGTGTGTGTGTTTGTGTGTGTGTGACTGTGTGTGCATGTGGTGCGATGGTGCACGGAGGGCGGCAGGTGCAAGCGGACACACTGGATTCGAAGCTGGGTGCGGTGAGCAAGGAGCAGGAGGTGCGAGCACAGCACGCAGCAGAGCTGGAGAAGCGACTGGAGCAGCTGGGCGTGAAGGTGCAGGAGACGGACGCCGCCGTGCTGCAGATTCTGGCCAACGGGGGGCCCATGGTGCGGCAGGAGGTGGTGCAGCTCGTGCAGCAGGTGCTCCCGCTCCCCCACCGTCTCTTGCCCTTGTTTCCCCCTTGCCTGCTTCCCTCCCCTTACTGCCTTGCAACCTGCATCCGCACTTCAAGTTTATGTCCTGCTCGCTGGCTTTAAAATCTGCTGTTTTCCATGAATAAGCTTGAATCCCAGCCCCATCCGCAGCCCCCAGTCAAAGAGGCTCCTTGTGGCTGCACGACTTGTGCCCTTGCACCTCTCTCTCCTCCTGTGTCTCACCCCAAAACACACACACCAGGTGGCAGAGGAGAGGGCACAGGAAGTGGAGGCGCGCGCGTTGACGCTAGACGACGTGAGGGCGGCGGCGAAGAGGGTGGTGGAGGAGCAGCTGCAGCGCCACCTCACGGATGACATAGAGCGCGCCGACTATGCCCTCGCCACAGGGGGGGGGCGCGTGGTGGCGCACTCAGACGCGCTGTACACGCGGCAGCAGCAGCAGCAGCGCCAGCAGAAGCGGCGGTGGAGCCAGGTGGTGAGCACCGTGTCTCGCCTCGCTTCCTCCGGTGCTGCCGGCGCAGGCGCTGCTGACTCTGGTGGCAAGGAACCGGAGGCGGCACTGCTGCACCCGAACGCACAGGTGGTGCTGGCCCCTGGGCGGTTCCCCGGCAACTGCCTGCCACTGAAGGGGCAGCAGGGCCACATTGACATCCGCCTGCGCTCCACCATTGTGCCGCGTGCCTTCACCCTTGAGCACCTGCCCAAGGTTCGCCCTCCATGCCCTTGCTGCCACCTACGATTCTGCTTGTTACAATGTTGTTCGTTGCTCTTTGCCCACACGTTGAGCCCAGCGCGTTGAACACCTGGTCCTCGTGCCGGGCAGAACATGCAACCCACTGCGTGTGCTAGCTGGGGTGCTGCACACTGCCCCATGCCCGCACATCCCACGCAACGCTCTCATTGTCGTCCCCCCTTTCCTGGCAGAGCATCGCGTATGAGATTCACAGCGCACCCAAGGACGTGGAGTTCTGGGGCAGGCGCCCTGCCAGCACCCCCACCACCACTGCTGTCGCCACTGCCGCTGCTGGCAGCACTGGGGCCAGTGGCGGTGGGGAGAGTGAGGCGGCAGGGTCAAGTGGTGCAGGTGGAGCAGCGGAGGAGGGGGAGTGGCAGCGGCTGGCAGTGGCAAGGTATGAGCTGGAGGGCGGGCCGGTGCAGACATTCAGTGTTGGGGAGGCAGTGGAGGAAGCGGGGGGTGGCGATGGCGTGGGCATTGGCATGGTGCGAGTGCGCGTGCTGTCCAACTATGGCCACCCCAATTTCACCTGTATCTACCGCGTCAGGGCGCATGGGGACGCGCTGGGCGGGTGAAGAGTGAAGGTTGCACGAAGCAGCATACAGGCACCAAGGTGGGCAGGGTGCTGGGGGCAGACATGAGATTGAGCAGGGTGCTTTGTTGCTGTGAATGCTTGTAAAGGCTGCCTTGGGAGCCACCAGTTGTTTTGCGACTTGTTGGTTTCCTATGGGGCACACGGTACCGTAGGTAGTTGATGTTTGTCAAGGATGCTACCTTTTGCTGTATACTTACTAACCGTAGTTCATGTGAAATAAAGCTTGAAAGACTGGAAAGATTGGAGCAGTGAAGAAGCATGTTTATTGGAGAACCCATCGGATCTGAGTCAGCCTTCAGTTCAACCCAGCATGTTGCAGGCAGGCAGGAGCAAGGAAGATGACGACCCTTATGGTAGACGGTACTTGCAGGCCTGCACCAACCGGCTCATGGAGCAAGACTAGACTCCTCACTCACGCCCTGCCTAGTCACATCAGACGCACACGCTGTAACAGTCTTGTGTTATGACAACACGGCATCAATAAACAACAGGCGCAGACTAACCAGGCTCAGGACCCAGAGCACTCAGATCAAGTAAGCCCAGGCGCATCACGATTCACACCACCCCTGTGGCTACCACTACCAAGCGGTGGCGTGGGTGGGTGGCGGCATGTGGCATCACTTGGTCTTGCGAGAGTCATCCTCGTACTGCTCCACGAGCCTCTGCACGTCCTCCAGGAATATGTCCTCCGCCAGCAGCCCGTCAGCCGTGTACCTGTCCCCACCCATGCAATGGGGCGATGCGTGAGGGGAGGGAGAAGAGTGCTGCGTTGATGTACGGTAGCAGTAATTTTAGACGCGCATAACAAGGCGTGATAACCACAGGGCAGGGCATGCAATGGGTGAAGGAAGTGGGAGAAGGGTGGCCTTTTAAGCTGACTCTATTATCAGCCTGTCTGCCATGTACCTGCCACAGGGAAGGAGCGCTGGGGAAGGGGTGCAGGGTGGGGTGAGTGGAAGGAGGTGGTTGAGGCAGAGGTGCAAGTCAGCTTCCCCAGATATATGCTAGACTCCATGGTCAGCCAAGTCCAGTACGCCAGCACCCACACAAAGCCAGCTTCCACGCTTACAATTCAAAGCTCCAATTTACCCCCATGCCGCCACCGCCACCCAACACGGCACAATGCCTCTCAATCCCCTCCCCTCCCCTCCTCTCCCGTCCCCTACCATGTCCTCCCCTCCCCCTCCCCCTCCCCAACGCCTCCCACCCTCCCTACCATTTGGTGATGCTCTTGCAGAGCTCGACGGGGGGGTGGGCGGCGGCGGAGGAGGGGTCAGCGGACTCGATGCGCAGGTGGTAGAGGTCGCACGCGCGCTCCATGCGCGATGACACCGCCACCCCCGTCTGCGCAAACATGCCCTGCCACGTGTGCACCCCGTTGCACCACGGGGGTGGAGGGGGGGAGGGAGGGAGAGAGAGAGAGAGGGGAGTGGAGAGGGGAGGAGATGAGAGGGGTGCAGGAGGAAGCATAAGTGGCGGAGGTAGAGGGCTGAGGCGGAGTGAGTGCAACGGGGTGCAGCAGTGGCTAGGCAGCATGGACATGGGGCAAGACAGTGATGGGGGCGAGGGAGTGATGGGAACGGCCATGACAGGCACAGCACAGCATGGGTTAGAATAATGGGATCAACACTCCGGGTACAGGTGGTGCGATGAGGAGGAAGAGTGGTGGAGCAATAAGGAGATGAGAATGGTATACCGATTGAGGGTAGGTGAAGAGAAAGTAGTTCTTCTCCTTGAACGTGACGATGAGCTGTAGCAGCACGTTGAGGGCTATGTATGTGCTCATGGTGACCACGCACACACCACACACACCGACATGCAACAGCAACCCAGACAGTGGGAGGAAGGGGGAAGGGCAGAAGGGGGAATGCAGGGCGAGAGCAAGGGAGAGAGAAAGAGAGAAAGAAAGAGAGAGAGAAGTGGGGAGGGAGGGGGGAGAGAGAAAGGGACGAGGGAAAGGGAGAAGAGAGAATAGAGAACCATGGAAAGTTGCAAAGAGAGGGTTAAGGGGCAACCACAGAGGGGAGGCAACAGGAATCCATCAAGGGCCGCGTGAGCAGCAGCGGTGGTGGCCGAAGCGGTGGTGGCGCGGGAGGGTATAGGCCGAGAGGCCATGGAGAGGGAAGCGCGTGTGTGGCGAGAGGAGGAGGGGAGTCGGGCGTGGGAGCAGTGAGCAATGTGGGCAAGCGGTGCGCGAGACAGGCAACGGGCGAGCGAGGGACGGCGACAAGGGTGGGCGACTGGTGAAAAGGGCAACAGGGGGGAATGGCTGGAGCATGAAATTGGGAGGGAAGGGCGGGAAGGGAGGGAGGCGGGTGGCGGCGGGGCGGATATAGGACGATGCAGGCGAGCAGCAGCGCGCGGTTGTCGGGGAACTTGCGCGGGTAGAACTGCGCCACGCACGCCACGGCGCACGCCGCCGCGCAGATAACCATCTTGACGTTGCTGAGCGTGTGGTCCTCCTCGTACCCGCGCGAAATTATTATCTGCCGCCCGCCGCGCAACGACCGGGGGTAGGGGGAGGAAGGGGGAAAGCAGGGGAAGCACGGCCGTAGAGTGGGAGCGGGACGTGAAGAGAGCGGGAGGGGGATGCGCCGGGGACGCATGTAAGAGGAGAGGGGAGAACTTGCACGCACGCGGCGAATTGGGGCCGCGACGACGGGCGCGCATGTGCACACGTATGGACCCGAGAATATGCAGCGCGGACAGAAACACATTCCGCTACGGCGAAGGCGACGGACTGCTGCGCTGCAGTGGAGGACAAAAGCTCCGATCGCACCGCGCGTGAGATGCGGCGTGGCGGGCGGGAGGAGAGGGGAGGTGCGGGAGCGCGGGGAGACTGACATCCGTGGCGACCTCGTCGAGGTGGCGCTTGAGCATCACGTGGTCGTCCAGATTCAGCCCCTTGGGCTTCGCCTCCGCCACCGCCGCCTCGCCTTCCGCCGCCGCTGCCGGCCGCGACGACCAGATGCCCATGGCGGGAGCAGGCACGGTAGTTGACGCGCAGATGCGGGGATCGAATCCGGAAACGAGTGAACAGGTGCGCTGGGGCAGCAGGTCGAACGAAGACGAGGGGGACACGTGAGGGTTGCTGGTGAGTTCGTGATCACATCACGCAGGCGGGGCATTTGTGCCTTCAGATAGAATGGTGGCAACTGTACGGTAAGGTGCGGGTGGGTGGGCAATGGAAAAAAATGGTGGAAAGCTAGAACCGTTTTTATCTCTGCAATACCACACTGAACTGCTCTTAACGAACCCAATCGATCAAGTCTCCTTTTATCATTAGATTTCCCTACTAGATAAATTACCTCGTGACGTTAAGAAGAATTAGCGCAGGTGTACAAACGCGGATATTGTTCGCTCGCAGCCTGCTGTTTGAAGCTTCAAATTTGCACTTGGGAATTCAAACGCGCAGGTCACTGCCATGGTCTCATCACCATGCACGCTCCGCTGCACCACCAAGCATCCCAGCTACGACCCTTCGTCACTGCGGCGTTGCCTGCATTCTCGTATCCCAGGCTTGCTCAGCCTCGATACTTCTCCAATATTACAGCACCCAACGTTTCATACATCGATCTTCGCAAATCATATTGCTGTTCTGAGTCTCTCAGCTCGTACCTACTCCCTCATCTGCACCGTGTCCAAGGATTAGCTTCTCAGAGTTGCATCCATAAGTGGTTTGCCATTCTCTATCGACCAAGGGCTCCTGCACAGCGATTTCAGCCTATTCGGCTTCTTCAAGTTCTGATAGCGGATCGATCCATACCCCCCATTGCGCCGGCGATTCGACAAGCTCTTGCTCGGCGTCTCTCCTCTCCTTCTCCTAGTACTCACTCCTCTCGCGCTGCGACCGTGTACCGCGCGGCCTCTCACAGCCCTCCCCCAGCTATGGACTCCGACGCCTCCCACGGCGATCGGGGCAAGGCGCATGCGCATGACGGTGCGCGGTCGTTCCAGGTCGTGGTGGCGGCGACGCCGGAGATGGGCATCGGGCAGGGCGGGCAGCTGCCGTGGAAGCATCTGCGGCGGGACATGGCGTTCTTTAAGGAGGTGACGTCATCCACGAGTCGCGCCGGCACTCGGAACGCGGTGCTCATGGGTCGGCGCACGTGGGAGTCCCTGCCGCCCCGCTTCCGACCGCTGCCGGGCCGGCTGAACGTGGTGCTCACGCGCTCAGGGCAGCTGCCCGCCACGTGCTCCGACGGCGACAGCTCAGCCGGGGCCGGCAGCGGTGGCGGCGGCGCGCAGCAGGACGTGGTGGTGGCTGACAGCCTGGCGGCGGCGCTGCTGATGCTGGGCACGGAGCCGCACAAGTCGAGCATTGAGAGCGTGTTCGTCATCGGCGGCGGGCAAGTGTTCAGGTGAGCGAAGAGGCAGGCGGCTTGGATTAGAGTCAGCGTCAGCGTCTGAGTCAGCTCAAGCCATTCAGGTTGCAGACACCTTTTGAGATGTCTCAGAACAGTGCAGGCTAACGAACACGCAGGCAGATCTTATGGGAGTCAGGTGCTCCTAGCCACCTTGCGCCTGCAACGAGCGCACGTGCATCCAGTCTTCCTCATCTTCCCCACAGCCGCCTGGATTCGCCGACAAGTTTCTGTCCCGCAATCCTTATTCCCCCGTCTCCCGCGCGTGCTGCAGCGAGGCACTGTCGTCGCCGCTGTGCGAGGCCATCCACCTCACCCGCGTGCGCCGCCTGCTGCCCGCTGAACGCACCGCCCTTGGTGGCGCATGTGGCGGAGCTTCTGACGCGGCAGAAGGCGAGGAGGTGATTCCGTGCGACACGCACATGCCCGCCATCGACCCCTCCGCGTTCCGCGTGTGGCGCGCGTCCCCTCCCTTCAACGACAACGGTTACTCCTGCGCCCTCCTCACCTACGTTCGCACCTCCACCCCGTCCCAGCCCACCCCCCCGGCCTCCTCCTCCCCTGCACCGCCTCTGGCAGCAGCCGCGCAATGCGAGAGCGACAGCAGGGCCGCGGCAGCAGGCGAGGATGGGGGCAGTGGCAGGACTGGCGAGGAGGCGAGTGCAGGCGCAGGGAGGAAGCAGCGGGCAGAGGGAGCATGGATGCAGTTGGCGGCGAGAGTGCGGGAGGAGCACGAAGAGTACCAGTACCTGCAGCTCATTCAACGCATCCTGGATGATGGCGTGCCCAGGGCCGACCGCACAGGCACCGGCACTCTCTCACTCTTTGGCTGCCAGGTAAGCGGACAGGCGAGGTGGACGAGGCGGGGCAGCCAGGCAGCACAATGGGGGAGAACGGTGGGGTTTGCAGGCTAGAGCGTTTAGCGGAAGCAAATTGGTAGTTGCGTGCAGGGCATTTGCATCTGATGCCATTGTGCTTCCCCTCTCCACTCTTTGTGACATTTTGTGTGTGTGTGTGTGTGTGTGTGTGTGCAGATGCGCTTCAACCTTCGCCACACCTTCCCTCTCCTCACCACCAAGGTACTCTGCAACCCATCCGCCCTGGCGCCCCACTTGCCCCTCCCGGTGAACCCTGTAGTGCACGCCAATCATGTTTCTGACCGTCCAGCTCATACGCGCGGCTGCTGGGGTGCAACGCCATGTTCATGCGCCCATGCCGTGCGCACCACCCCTACCGTCTCTCGTGTGCACCACACCTGCTGCCTCAAAGCCTCTGCTGTGTCGTGCCGCTTCGCCCACACCTTGCTGTTGGTGTATGCTCATTGTGCTGCATGGCGTGTACTGCATGGCGTGTGCTGCATGGCGTGTACTGCATGGCGTGTGCTGCATGAGTGGCAGAGAGTGTTTTGGAGGGCAGTGGTGGAGGAGCTGTTGTGGTTCATCCATGGGTCCACCAATGCCAAGGTATGCACCGTGCAGGCACCAACGCACTGTCCTCTGCGCCACTGCCACCATGCACACACACAACTTCCTCCTCCACCTCTGCTTTCCTTAGCTGCTGCTTCATGCCCGGCTCACTGCCTGTCTCAATGTCCGTCTCCAGTGTTGTTGTTCACTCACCCACCATCCTCAGCATCGCCACATGGATGCTGTCACATGCCACCCATGCGCTCTCTTGCCAACCCATGGTGCTGGTCCTCCCCTGCGTACCCCCTGCAGCTGCTGCAAGACAAGGGCGTTCACATCTGGGATGGCAATGCGTCCCGCTCCTACCTTGACAGGTACGCAATGCTTCACTCCACTTCTCTGTACTGTGAATCTGCTGCGTTTTGTGCTTGCTTGGCCTGAACCATCTCTGAGACAGCCATTTCTGTATTTTTGCTGATGCTGCCATGCAAATCGGATTGCATGTGATGCCATCAGTTGCCTCTCATGCCTGCATGTGTGTGATCTTTTGTATGCCTTGCCACCCACCTGCCCACCCACCCACTGCGTGCGTGCGTGGGTGCCTGTGTGCTGTGCAGCTTGGGTCTGAGTGATCGCGAGGAGGGCGACCTGGGACCTGTCTATGGCTTTCAGTGGCGCCACTTCGGAGCCAGGTCAGTGCTCGTGCCGCCCCGTGCTCCCTCGCCATGCATGCCCGTCCTCCCTTGCCATGCATGTCCACGCTTCCTTGCCATGCATGCGCACGCTTCCTTGCCATGCATGCCCGTCCTCCCTTGCCGTGCATGCCCGTGCCACACACTGCTGTTGCGTGCTTAGAGGCCCTCACAACCTGCTCCTTACACCAGCTGTTGCTGCCTTCAGAACAGTCACTTTTGTGTGCTGCTGTTGTTCCATGTGCTGCACTGTGTGCCGTGCATTGCTGTGTGCTGTGCCTTGTGGTGTTATGTGGCACTGTGATGTGTGTGGTGGGGGCATGGCAGGTACAAGGACATGCATGCGGACTACAGTGGGCAGGGAGTGGATCAGCTGGCGGATGTGATTCAGCGCATCAAGGCCAACCCCAATGACCGCCGCATCCTCATGAGTGCATGGAACCCTCCCGACCTGCCACACATGGCCCTGCCGCCATGCCATGTGCTGGCTCAGTTCTATGTGGCACGGGGCGAGCTCTCCTGCCAGCTCTACCAGCGCTCATGTGACATGGGACTGGGTGTCCCCTTCAACATCGCCTCCTACTCTCTCCTCACCCTCCTCATAGCTTCAGTGTGCGGTGAGTCTCATTCCCATATGCCAGTCTTACCACGTATACCACTCTTACCACGTTGACCACTCTTGCCATACAATTCCTGCGCTTGGTTCCGTTTATCCACGTTCAGT